GCCATCGATGTCTTCTCAGAGGCAGCAGCCTTCACCAAAGTGTAGTTGTGACAGGCCCACCCTCCTTGGCCCCTTCCCGCCCAGCCGTTTGGGAGCCCAGGTGCACGGCCCTTGTCCAGGCCCTTGTCCACACGGTGGCCTGTATTTTCTGCTCCCTCAGTCTCCCACTGCTCCCCTCCTCCGTTTGTCCAGCTCCTGTCCCCTACCAAATGGACCGACAGTTTCCTTGGTGCCTTGACAGCAGTCCAACTCAACTGTGCGCTTTGGATGGCACACCCAGGCCAAATGCCTTTGCCCAGAACTCCCACCAACCGGCCGCATGTTGACAATGAGGAGCCCACACTGGAATCTCATCTCACCCAGAAAGGGACAGGACTTCCAGAAGCAGGAGATGTGGGCCCGACCACCCATCCTAGCATGGAGCCCCGAGCAAAGCTCTCCTGAGACCCCAGTATTGGGGACAATCCAAAGCCCTACCCTTGTTGGGGAGAAGCTGAGGTTCCCAGGAGCCGTGTACAGCACCCATGACAATGGTGGATGGACACATTCCAGCACATTCTGGGACTTCTGCCCCCATGAATGCCCTTAATGGGAGCCTTAATTAGGGCCCATTATTTTAAAAAGAGCATTGCATAACAAAACCTGGCCGTGAATGCCAGTAATGGGAGATTCTCAGTCTCTAATCCTGTCCCCTCACTCCTCTTGTGCTGCAGCTCCGATCACACAGACCCGGGCACCTCCAAGCAGCTCCGCTCAGCTCCCCACCCTCCCGCTATGGGGGCCGCTTCTCTCCACCCCACCCCACCCCAATCCCGATATCGGGGAGCTTTGTCGAGCATGGCAGAAGCTCAGAGAATCCAGTTAACCCTTTCAAGATCACGTCATCCTATGCTGTGAATTTTGGGCCCAAACCATGTGTTTTCCATCATGGAAGCCATTTGGGGATGAAATGAGAAAAAGCAAAGAACTTTTTCCCCTAGAAACATGGATTTTGATGGAATCACCCACCGCCATCAAGTGGATTCCAACTCAGCGACCTTAAGGAACAGAGTCAAACTGTCCCCACAGGGTTTCCCTGGCTGTGAACCTGTATGGAAGTGGCCCGCCTCATTATCTCCCATGGCACCACCCACCTTTGGGCCAACAGCCCAGTGTGTAACCGCTGGCTGCACCACCAGGATTCCTTCTGTTGGAATTAGTGGGCCACCCAGGTCTCCAGGGGCTCTGGTGCTGGCGGGGGGGTGGGTGGGGGGGTGGGGGTGTCAGAAGGGGCTGTTTCTTCAGATTCACACAGGTATGCAGGCCAGACAACAGCCTGCACAGAGAGTGGGACAGCAGCTTCCCACTGAACTGCAGAGGTGGGCACCAAAGGCTTAAATGAGAGCACCAGCCAGCTCACAAGAAACAGCTGTCTGGGTTTCCGGCCACAGTGATGCAGGCAGAAAGAATGGACAGGCCCTCAGTTCCGGGGCTACCCAGCCACCTCAGTGCCACCGAAAGAGGCTCACTCCGAGGCAAGGAAGAGACAATCAAGTCCATGGGTAAGACAGCACCTTCAACCCAGAGTGGCCAGTGAGGAGAAACAAGTGATGGAGGGTTCTATAGAAGCACCCCACACAATGCCTGCCCTCTTCCTGTCTTTGAGGCAGAGGAGCGTAACAGATGGGAAAGAATGCATTGAGCAGAAGATCCAGGCTGGGTGTACTTGTGGGTTCAATCCACTTTGTGCTCCATGCTCAGAGACCCCACCTAAACGGCCCCGTCTCACCAACAAGGAAGCCAGAGATGGCTTCTTGTCTCACCCAGAAAGGGGGAAGGACTTCCAGAAGCCAGAGGCGTGGGCCTGACCCTGGCCCTGCCACCCCGTCTGTGCCTGGCATCCCGAGCAGAAAAACACCTGCAGGAAACTCTTCAATGGGTTGGATGAACACGGGGGCTGCAACGACCGGCTCAGACTCAGCAAACGTGGTGAGAATGGTGCAGGACCAGACGGCATCTCTCCACTGTTCGTGGGGTGCCTCTAAACTTGGAGGCAACCCAACAGCACCTGACAGCAATGTAGACCTTCCCTGGCAAGAGACCATCGAAGGAACAGGCAGGCATCTCTACTGAAGCATGCCAGGATTCACCAGCCCTCTGAGCAGGCACAAGGCTGCTTCACTTCAGAAGAGAGGGAGACTGATGATCGTTTAGAAGGTGGAACTGGTAGGGAAGGGCAGAGAAAATCATGATATAGAACCAAGACAAAGTTGCTCGAGCTACTTCAACTAAGACTTCATCGTAGAGGGAGAAAGAAGCCTTAATCCTCTAGTCTTCCACCTGCAGTCAAGTCTGTGGAAACACGGAATGTTTCCCTAGGAAGGGAGGAATCCCCCATCATGTGGAATAGTCCACCACGAGTCCGAACATCCTGTGACAACTTCACCAGGCTCAGCTCCTGGCGAAGCCAGCCTTGAGGGAGGCGGGCGGCGCTGTCCTTGCTTGCCTCTCTAGCTGAATCCAAGAGTCAATCCCATGTCCTGCGGGAAGGAGGGGCACGGTCCCTCGTTCTGGGGTGAGTGAGGACACTGTGGTGGGTGGAGTCAGCGTCTGGGACCCTTTGGGAGCTGGGGACCTAAACCAACTCCATCTCAAGAAGGACCATCTCTGTGACGTTGAATAAAGCCACCCGTCCTCCGGATGCCTCGGTTTCTACTCTTCATCCAAGAGCATCAAGCTCATGGGCACGTCTTCCAGGCTTTGCCGGACAGACACAGCACACGGCCAGCGTGTGGCCCTACTGCAGGCGCGCTGCACCTATGAGTCCCCAAAGGTAACCAGACACAAACAGCTCCCGGATCTACTCCCAGGACAGGCTCACCAAGCACCTGGTAGAGCATTCCAGGAAAGAAATCCCTGAAACAGAGGAAGTCAACAAAGAGCTTGCCAGTGTCAATTTCATCCTGGGATCCTGGGTTCCCGGACTCCCTCCAAGGGCCCAGTGGTCCTGGATATAGGCGGCTGGGGCGGGCGGCGGTTGGGGGGGGGGTGCATTTCAACATGGTAGATAACTCCCAAAGACATGCCACCCAGCCCCCAGCCCCTTCAGGGGAGCTGGAAGGCTCACAGATTTCCATCCAATGGCTCAAATGTTTGGGGCTGGTGGGTGGCATTCTGGGTGCTGCCAGCCTTCAGGAACCTTGTGGGTCAGCTCTTTCTGGTGGGCAGATTACCTTCTCTAGGGGATCCCACCTGGGCCTTGAAGCTAATGCCCACTTCCACCCAGAGTGAGGAGCTTCCGTGAGAAAAAGCAGGAGGGGAAGGTGGTTGTATCCAGACCTGGTGGGGACCAGAGGATGGTATTGAAGAAACGTGTCCGCAGTGAAGTTGAAGGCCTGCCTGTTCTTGCCGTCTCCAGCCTGCCCTATTCTAGAGCCTAAGCTGCCCCTGGGAGACGGCCTGTCTGCCCTCTGGGGCCCTCTCTTCCTTACTGAGAGTTGGGAGAAACGTCCGTCCCCAGACCACACTGTCCCCTGAGACTGACAAGTTCCCAGCAGGCTAAGACACAGCTGACCGCCCTCCAAGCTCTTCCTGAGACCAGCATGAACTCTTCCCTTATTGACAAATCAAGTGCAATTAGAGACAATCTTCCTCTCTTGAATATATATATTCAAAGAAGAAATGCATTGTCATTTTTCGATTAGGAACAGAAGAAAACCCGCGCATCCCACCTCACACAAGCATTCCGCCATGCTCGCTCATACCCACGCACCCCGCGGCTGGGCCGGCACGACACCATCGGCATCCAGGAAACCGGGGAAGCAGAACTCGGACTCCCCGGTTTCCCAGCGCTTCCACGCACGCAGTAGTCTGTCGGGGCTGGAGGGACTACCAATTTGAAAATGCCTTCGGGAAATCCAACCGCTTGTTGGCTTTTTGATGCTGTCTGTCTTCCACCGTGAGGGCTGTGCCCTGACGTGGAGAACGCTGCCGGCTTGGCAAATGCGTGCTCTCTGAAAAAACGAAACAAATCCGCCTTTGAACCAGTGAGCTAAAGGGGTCCTCGTCTTCTTGCCCGCCCGCCCGCTATAAAAGAAGGAAGGATAAGAGAGAACCTAGCGGTTAAACAGCGTGGGCGTGGTGCACCCAGGATCGAGTCTGCTCATGGAGCATGCACGGTTTGACAAGACAATAAATCTGTTTCTCCACCCACCCACCCCCGTGTTTGGAAGCAGCCGGAAGCGGACTGTGAGCGAAACCAGAGGATGACAAAGAAAAACGAATACCTAGAACATTCTGTTTTGTCACGTGGCACACACGCGCACAGATGCACACTCAGGCCGCGGTCCAGCAGGGGCTACCGCGC